GTTCTCGTGGCCGGCGCCGGGAAAGTAAAACGTCACGTACTGCTGCGCGTCAAACGAGTTCTTGGCGTACTGGAGGAAGATGAAGCTCTCCCGCACGAGCCGCTGCACGGCCGCGTCCTTCCACACGTCGCGGTTGAGCGTCTGGCACTGGAAGATGCTGTTGTCCTGGAGGTTCACGAGCAGCCACTTCTTGTCCTCCTTGCCCTGCTCGCGCGCGTCGTCCCACTCGGCCGTCGACATGAGGTCGTACGGCGGTCGGAAGAGGTCCGCCAGCCGCTGCGCGCGCGCGTCGCTGGCGCTCGTCGTGCCGCCGCCGTAGCCCGCCGATCGGTGCGGGCCGTCGCCGTCCCAGATGCTCGCGTCGTGGTTAAAGGGATTCCTGGCGCCGCCTACAAGAGAAAGAAAAAGGGTGTCAGTTCCGAGTGCATCTCTTCAAGGCAGTCCTCCCGACAGAGAGAGCATACCTCGAGCCCTCGCCGCCGCGCGCTGTCGTTCCTGCTGCAGCAGCGCCGCCATGTCGGCCTCCTCGGCATCCGTCATGCCGCCTCCAAACGACGGCGCCACAAGCGTCTCCGTGGTGGCCCGGATCGGCGAACGCACATCGTCGAGCGCCGCGCCCCCACCAGAAGCGCCGGCGCCGCTGCCGCTGCCGTAGAGCTCCTCCTGCAGCCTCTTGGCCATGGCGGCATCCTCCTCCTCCTGCGCACTGCGCGCCACGGCGACCGCCTGGGCGTGCCCGCTGCTGCTGCTGCCGCCACCTCCACCACCTCCACCATGTATGTCGTAGTCGTCGTCGTCGTCGAGCATGTTCGTGTCATCGTGGTCATCGTCGCTGTCAATCTGGATGGGCTGATCCTGGCGGCCAGAGCCGGTGGGACGGGTGCTCGAGGGCACGGCAGGAGCGGCGGCCGAGGAGGCGGTCCCGGCGACGCCAAAGCTCCTCTGAATGTCGGGGTTCTCAAAGAAGAGCTGGATGGCGGCCTCGAGGTTGCCGCCAGACATTTCGAGGAAGCCGCGCGCGACCTCGGGGTCGGCGTTGGTGATGGCGGCGAAGCTCGAAATGTCGTCGTCCATGGTGTCTGGTGTCTGTGGACGGTGTCTGGTGTCTGTGGACGGCGTCTGGTGTCTGTGGACTGCGGAGCGAGGTGTAGGTGTAAAGGATGGAAGACGTGCAAAAACCGCCCGCAACGACGTTTGGCAGTTCTTGTCTGTGGTGGGAAAAGGCACAAGCCGTGGACAACAAGGTGCGCAGGCGAGATGCTCGTCTGCAGTTCTGCGGTCTGAACTGTAGGGCTCACCACGGTACCCCACAAGCTGTGTGATGGAGGGGGAAATCCAGGGTCGTCGAGAGAGGCGGGGAGACGTCGTTCCAGTGAGGCAAGATGGATCAAAGAAGGGCAACAATGGGAGAAATCACTGGTCAACGCTCGACTGGGTTTGCGTCGTCGTTCGCGTTCGAGCAGGTGTGTGTAGGAAGGGTGTGGTAGGAAGGGTGTGATAGTAAAGGTGTGGTAGTAAAGGTGTGGTAGTAAAGGTGTGGTACTGGAGGTCTGATGGAAGGCGCCAGACCTGTGACGCAACCGCGGGACACGAAAGGTACGAAAGGTACAAAAGGCGCCAGAGAGTGAAAGGCCAAAGGGAAAGAGCTGCGGCAGCGGCCCATCTGATGCTCCGTACCGTGCGTATCCTGACACTATGTGGCCTGGCACTGTGTTCCTCCCTCAGCCTCGTGCTCCCTGCCTCGTGCCTCGTGCCTCGTGCCTCGTGCCTCGTGCCTCTTCTTGCCAGGATCATCTACCAAAGCATGTACCAAGGCATTCAAGCTGCCATTTTTCTCATCCAAATCATCATTCACCAAGTTCCTGATGATGCATACACAGGTGTACAACTCTTTGATACTGCTACAATGCCGAACACCCTCCCCACACGCATTCTCGCACACACACCAGCTACCTGGTATATAATCAACACATTAAGACCTCTGTCGAATGCTTTGCAGTGAAAAGGGAGAAAGCTTAAAACGTCTCTACAGCTCATATCGTCATGAGCTCTACTCACATACATCTAGACCCTGGAACCACCCAGGACAATCCACCTCCCTCCATACACGCACACTCACTTCATCTCCGACAGAATCGTCTTCAGCTGCGCCTGCACCTCCAGAGAACGCTCCATGCCGAGCGCATTCTCCACCATGGCCACGAGCTGCGCCTTCTCCGCACCCTCGGGCGCCGGACCAAAGACACCGCTGCCCTTGGCCGCAAACACGGCCCCCATGGCCTGCGCCCGCATGTTCCGCTGCGCCTCCGTCCCGACGTCGACCTGGTCCATGTCGAGCGACAGCAGATACATCGTGGCGACGGCCTTGTCAGCCTCCGACGCCGCCGTCGACGAGGACGAGCCCGATCCCGGCACGGCAGCGCGCACCACGTCCCGCACGCACTCGTACCAGACCTCGCGCTTCATGACGGCAAACTGCGCGCTGCCGAGGTACGGCCTGAGCAGCCTCATCATCTTGTCGAGCACCCCGTACGAGTCCTGCTGAAGCTGCTGGCGGTTGTACCCGCGCGCCACGGCCTCGAGGCCGCTTTTGGCAATCGCCGTGGCCTTGTCCTCGCTGTCGACGTCCATCCTGTCCTCGTCGTTGACCTCGTCGAGGAACGGCTTGACAATGGCGAAAATGTCGTCGAGCAGGTCCAGGTCGTCGCGCACCTCGGCAAACTTCCACAGGTACGTCAACGCGTGCACCCGGTACGCGTCGTTGTTGCGCTTGGCCTCGCGCAGCGCAATCTTCTTCATCTGCGCCGCAATGCCGGCGTCGTCTTGCCACAGCCTCTTGCCGTGGCCCACAAAGACGGGGAACGACGCGAGAAGCTTCTCCTTGTGGGTGAACGTCTTGAGCGCGAGCGCCTTGTCGAGGACGGGCCAGATGAGCTTCAGGTTGGCGTCGCTGATCTGGCCGTTGGCATCACTCGCCGCGACAACGTCCTTGATCGTGGACGCAATCGTAAACGCGCCGCTGTGCTGCAGCACCCACCGCGGCGCATCGAGGCCACGCCTGGCAAAGGCCACAATCTCCTCGACGTAGCGCGCTACCGTGCGGGAGCTGCCGGCGTGCGCATCCCACACCTTCGTGAACGCCTTCTTGACCCACTCGTCCGTGTCGTGAGACGCCATGAACGCAAACGGCAAGAGACGGCTCTCGAGCTCGTTGAAAACGTCGGGCGACGCCGTCGACAGCGCAAGAATGACGTTGGACATCTTCTGGCGACGGCTGTCGTCCTCGGCGTCAAAGTACAGATCGATGGCCTTGGTGATGAACCGGTCCTTGGACGCCTCGGGAGCGACGCGCATCAGATACGCAGATGCCTTGGCGTACGCCTGGCTGACCTCGTCGTTGCGGTCGAGCACCTGCTTCTCCATCATCTGGAGGAACTTGGACGCGTATGGTTCGATTTCGTGCCGGTGGCGCATGACCATATCTGTGAACAGCCGGGCGCAGCCAATCTTGGTCTGCATGCCAATGGCCGATTTGACCGTCTGCTCGATGCTGGGCACAAGCTGGGTCATGATTTCGTCGTCGACCTGCCGCAGGCAGTTGTCAATGGCTTCAGTAATGGGCGACGTGTTGACAAAGGAAGCACGCATCTTATCGAGCTGTCCGCGCTTGTCCTCCTGCAGCCGCTGGTACGCAAAATTGATCTGCTCCGGTTCGACGGTGCTGTGCAGGTTGAGTAGGTGGGGGATGATCTCGGCGACGTACGGCTTCAGCGCCTTGCCTCCCTTCTTGGTCACGTCCATGATGGTCTTGAGTGAGAAGCCCTTGACCTCGTCGACGTTGCTCTCGAGGCCGCTCGACGACAGCAGGAACCGCAGAGCTTGACCTAGCATGACCCTTGCTGTGTCGACAGAGCTACCGTCCTCGAGCAGGCGAACGATGGTGCTGGTGAGGCCCATGCAAAGCTTGAGCGCAACCTCACGGACAGACGACTTGACGTCGTCGAGGACCTTGAGGGCGGCCGTCCAGATTTGTTCATAGTATTGCTCGTACTTCTTGAAAGGCTGACCGCCGATAATCTCAGAAATGGCAGCCGCGCTGGCCTGTCGGGTTCGCCACTCCTTACCGAGGACGCACTTCAGGAGATCAGACATGATGGCATCAAAGTGATTCTGGATAGCCTCATTCGGATCCTTGACCAAAGACTTCCAAATCTCCTCCATGGACGCGCGGACATTCTTGTTGGGATCGAACCGGTAGCGATAGAGCTTGGGATAGATGCGAGGATCCACGGTGGCATCAGTGAGGATGCTGCTGAGGCCGAAGCGCCCGAAAGCCGATCGCGTAGACCACGTCGCAGCGTTGCTCGCGAGGCTCATGAACTTGTAAACGAGACTCTGGTCGCCGACCTCGTTGGCGAGCGCGATAATGTCCTTGTAAGAAGTGACTGACTTTCCTTCGCCCGTGGGCAGGGCGCCAGGCTCGAACAGCTCCGTGTCGCCTTCGACCTTGAGCTGCGTGCTGTCTCCGGTGAACGCGTTGACAAGGTCCTTGACAAGATCCTCGCGCTCCTGCGCATTTCCGCGGTCGTGCAGCAGAGACAAGCCCCGCGACGCAGTTTCTTGGACGAGCTCGTCACGCGCGTTCAGCAGACGCATAAACGCAGCTTGCGCCTGGCGCGAGTACTGACGAACGAGGGGTAGATGTCCCAGGTGCTGGATAGTGCAGAAGAGCCAGATGCCCGCGGCCTTGAGACGGAAGGGAGCCGTGTCGCGACAGTCCTTGAAGAGCTTCATGAGAACCAGCTGTAGGCGTTTCTCGCGTGCACCAATCTGCCACGTGCCCGGCTTGTGGTCAACGTCCATCTGCAGCGAGACTGCTTCCGAATCCCAGCCGCCGACGGTGGCAGTGATGGCCTCGCCAATGGCAAAGTGAATCTCCGTCTCTCGCTTCGTCTCCAGGCTGTAGAGAACACGAAGAATATTGTCTAGATTATCAGTCTTCTTGTCGGGAAAGGCAAGGCCCGAGTCGCCCGGAACGGATTCCACGGGATTCGAGCTCTCTGTGGAGCGTTCCGAACGGGGGACATCGGCCCACACCTCGTCTTCGAGCCCGATCGCCAGGCGGCCGAGCGCAAAGATCGCCTTCTCGTTGCCGCTTTCAGCCTTGGCACGCAGCGCCTCAATGACAGAGTCGGGGCTCAAGTCGGAACCCGGGACGGGGACGTCCTGGCGGGCGGACCACAACTGCCCAAAAGCTTCCATGGCTGCATTCTGGAGATCGCCCGACTCGCTGTCCTTGTTCAAGAGCTTTCGGGGAAGCCAAGCGTCGGGTTTAGACTCTTCGCCGTAGAAAGTGACTCGCGAATACAGGTGGCCGAGAGCCAACACGCTGCCCTCCACAGCATAGGCATCGGATCCGAAGGCCGTCTCCCAACTGGCGATGCGTTCCTGCATTTTGACAGTACAATCCGTCAGCAAACGCTGGCTGAGGGCAGGGTAGCGGGCTGGATCAGTGTTGGTCGGATGCGCGCCGAGAATTCCAAGCGCCTGAGCTGCAAGCCTGCGAATATCTTTGTTGTGCGAGGCGGTCAGAGGGAACACATCAGCCGCAAAAGCCGCCAGCCAAGCAAGCTCGCCGGACGTCGCCAGAGAACCGACGTCAACGAAACAACGCAGACTCTCCTCGATCACAGCGTCGAGACCCTTGGTACGCTTCGACAGGGCGCCGTCCAGACATGCCTTGAGGAACAGGGCCACGTCTGTTTTGCTAGCACGACCGAGATACTCTTGTACCAGCCCGCGAGTCTTCACGTCGACCGACATGGCGAGATCAAGTTGTGCGGCCCAGTCAGGGGTCCGGTTCAGGGCCGGGAGGGCTGTAAGCAGAAGCATCTGCTTGACAAACTTGACTGCAACGCTGAAGGCGTGGATGTGCTCTCCCTCGAATCTGCCCAATGCCGCAGGCTCTCCCCCAACGACGGGCAGAGCGCCTTGTGGATCCAGGGTCATCGTCTGCGCTAGATTACCGTGGTCGTTGCCAGGGTAGAAGAACACCCTCAAAAGGGTGACCCAATCGGGTATCTCAGAGACTGATTGCACGCGATAGGCCCAAGGATCCAGTCCCCTTTTGCCCTCTTCGACAACGTCGTGGCTTTCATCTCGTTTTCCAGCGATAGCAATAATCGAGGTCCATCTGGCATCTGGGTCGCTGAACGGGAAGCATGAATTGGCCCATTTGACGGCCACTGACCGAGCGCTCCGAACAGAGGCAGCACCGTCAGGTAGAGTTAGATATTTGTAAAGCATCGGGCCCAGCTGGACGGCTGCTAATTCGCTCCGGTCGACCTTGTCGGGGTTGAAGTGACGCAACATGCTGGATAAGGCCGACTCGATGTTGAACGCTACCTCCGACGTGGGATCCTCAGAAAGAGACTGGAATAGCCACTGGGCGAGGCTGAAGGCCTCGCGCAAATTCATCTTGGTTGCCTTGGCGAGAAGACCAATCACCTCGTATGCCTGTCCTCGGAGCTCAGCGTTAGAGGCCGAGGCCGCGTTGTTGGCGGGCGCCGCTACCTCGTCATGAGGGACCGGCCAGCCCCTTGACTCGACATATCCGCGAATCTTTCCGAGGATAGAAGAACCCATGGCAAAGTCGCCCTGCGAGGGGCCGTGTAGGGCAATGAATGCGATGTAGACGAAGAGTGCACGGTGAAGTTTGATCCGCTCCAGGTTGGATGCAGGCTGGAGAGGCTCCGGACAGTTGATGCCAGAGTCGAGGTCAACAAGCGTGGCGATCTCCTTCTCCATGGAGGTTGAAACGGGGGACTTCGATAGGAGGCCGAGAATCCTAGTGCGGTAGGGCGCCGTCATGCGACCATGGGCGCTGAAGAGGTCTTTGGCTAGAGCGGCATCGTCAAAAGAGACGGTGGTGCGTTTGAGAATGTCATCGCCCAGCTCGGAGACGCGACTGTCGGTGTTGCTGGCGGCGAAAATGGCGGGGATAAGCTTCTCGCGGTCTGTGAAGGCCCCGCTGGCGAGGAGCTGGGCAATCTTCCTGCGAAGATTGGGAAGATCGTCATACGGCTGAACCCATTTGCCGTCGCGCCACTCGGGGCACAGGAAGTCGAGCTCGTCTTTTAGCAGAGCCTTGTTGAAGGGTGCAAGCTTGGCGATACCCTCATCCCTCGTCAGCTTGTCGCTGGCGCCAAAGTTGGGCAGCTTCAACAGGAGCACCTTGCCCATCCATGACGCCACCCAGTTGGCGTCCTTGCTGGCTGAGAGGCCGATGGAAGACCGGAAGGCGCCATCCTCTTGGCTTCCGCGCGAGGGGATCTTGACGGTTGGGATGATTCGCAGGAGGACCCTCAGGATTAAAGACGCCGAGGAAGCTGAAGACAGAGCGGATATGCCAGTTGCTATGTCTTTGATGAGTTGGGACCGATCGTAATCGTCCATCCGGTCTACGCCGAGCGTGATGAATGTGGAGGCCAGCTGGCGCACGATGGGCGATGCGTCAGGCCTTTTGTATTGGGCGATGAGGGCGCCAACGGGAAGGATGATTCTGAGACTGATGTTAGGAATCTTGCCAAGTGAATGGCAAGCGACAGGAGGGCAGTGACAAGTTGACGGGTTCGACGACTTACTGAGAGCGGCCGATAAGATTCTTTATCGACTGGGCGAATCGAATGACCTAGTCCGGGTAAGATATGAGTGTGGCAAGCTGCATTGTCTCTAGATGAGGGCTTACATCAACACGCGTTTTGGCAGACTCGCTGCCACCCATGGCCACGAAGGGAGCGAGGTGCTTCTGGAGGGCCTGCTCTAGCTTCTTCTCATTGTTTGCTCCTCTGACAATGGCATCTTTCATGGCATTTAGAGATCGCAGCTCTCGCTCTTCCGGCGACTCAGATGCCATCTTGTAGGCTGAGCCGGCCCCAAGGGCTGTGCGTCAAGAGGGGTGTGAACGTTGGGCGTCAAGGTGCGGGGGATGGCAAACCGAAGACGCGGGACTTATGGGAAATCTGCTCTATGGACGTTGCTCTTGCGCAAATAGTAATCGTGTGCCGAAGAAGACGCTTCAATGCAGCCAGTAGACGTAGACGAAATAGGGTATCAGCGATGGATGAGTCTGGTCGACTTGAGATGCAGTGTTTGGTGAGGGGTTGACCAGCTGCTGAGGGAGGTGCGGATATTTGGAGAAGACAAGGTCGACAAACACTCGCAAGTATAAAAAAGAGACCGCTGTCTACTGTGGCTTGTGTCAAGAAAAGCAGTCACAACAATGGTGATCTGGAGATATGGGGATATGGAAATCGCCTCGATCAGCCAGCAACTGGCCCACGTCAACGTGCTGCGATGTGCCCACGGGAGAATCATGATGATTCAGCAAATCAGAGGTCCACGAGCTTCGACGGACGAGTGCCAGGCGATCCGTGAATGGCTTAGCGCGTCTGGCCCAGGCGAGCGATGCGTCCCTGCACTACAGCTGCCTGATGACCTAAGCTGACCAGATCCGGTCACGTGTCTCGGCAAGCCTGCGCATCACCAAGAAAACATAAGGTAGAGAAGGTGCCCAGCCCAGAAGGAAATAAAAGGTCACTGATTCAGGAGAAAGTTTCAACTGAAGCTTCGTTCGCCGATACGTTTTCTTTCATTTTATGTATGAAGGCCAATCACATTAAAGAGCACTATGGTGGTCCGAGTACGCACGAAGCTCACATCGTAAGAATAATCTATGGAGCTGTGTTATCAACGATTGCTCTGGAAAGGTTTTCATTTGGTTCATAGAGACTATGATATCAAACTTGGCATGTGTCCATAAACTCCGTGGCTTCCTCTATCTGCCGTTTGGGCAGGCGATGAGAGAGCAGCAGCGCGACCGCCGGATCGCGAAGATTATCGGGTGCCAAACACACAACCGCCATGCTTGAAGAAGCATCACGATCATCTGGGCGACTTACATGGAATATTGGAGTTGGCTCCAGCTGTCTATCGTGTACCTGCTAAGCGGACCAACCAAATGCGTCGGGCACATGAATCTGGGTAAGGTATCCCAGCTCGGTAGTCTGGGGACTGCATCATCGCAAGCCTGGATCTGCTCGGTCTGGCCGCATGTCCTAGACATTCGCCTGCTCGAGAGGAAGACTAGAGCGTAGAACACAGACTCGTACGGCATATGCCGTCAGCATCCTATTCACATGATGCTCATCAACTGAAAAGAAAGGCACCAAAGTGCCAGAGGGGGGGGGGGGGGGGGGGGGGGTTCCAAAAAAAAAAAAGGGATCCCACACCGGTTCGCCCCAACGGGGACAGCACAAAACTTCCCGTCCCCCATCGACCTTCTGGTTTGCTTTTTCCCCAGGCCAGATGCCAGCGCATGGCGTTCTCATTCAGCTCGCGCGGTAAAATTTGCCTGTGAGGAATTTGCGGGGTGCCGTGAGCCTGTTAAACTGCGAATCGGAATCTTGACCGCCCATGGCACCAAAGGTTGAGAATCCCATCTCATCAGCTAGATCAGCTACTTACCCTAAGGTACCGTCTGTTCTCCCCCGAACCCCCCCCTCCGCCCCCGCCATGACTCACATGACGGGCGTTGGCACTGCCTAATCGCAGATAAAGTGCCGGCTGCCCTTCTCGCCCTTCTGACAGAACCGATGCGAAGCATTGGATCTCACACACGGAAGCAAAGAAATGGTGCAAACTTTAGCCTTGCAGTAGGTTGGCCTGGAAGGAGGGCACACCATCAAGGCGGCGTGCCGGGCCAGGATTTGCTGGCGCTGCGCCGATCGCCCGCCGAGACTTGCGACGGCTTTTGCTTACGTTCCGGGCATCCGTGATAGGGTGCCCAGTCTGTAAGCATCCAGCATCAGTACGGAGTGCGTACAGGTGTGGGCAAGTGCCAAAAGGTTGGTCGCACCGCGAGTTCCGCGCAGCGCGCAGTGAGGTCTCCGCCTTTGTGTTGGCGCGGCCATTCGTTTTCATGCTAAGAAGCATGCTGAGGGAAATAATTCTCAATAATTCTCAATTATTTCCCTAGACTACAGGGCTTATGAACAAGCAAGGGAAGATAACAATCAACAGGCGTAGAGACGGTCACACGATGGATGGGTCGGCAAAGTCTGGTGCGCGAGTCACGCCTACGCGAACAGTCACTCTATATCTACACCCCCTCAAGTCCCACTCAGCCATTTTCGGCAAACAACGCCCCCAGCAGCCCTCCCATTATTAGGTAACCAGGCCCTAAGCTGGGGTAACCTGTTTGAAGCGAAGCTGCTGGGCACCCGGGCCACTCAGCGATTCTTTGCCGTCGTGCCTCAGGTGCCTAAAAAAGGTCATCTTGCCCCATTCACTTGCAGCTGTCGGCAGAGACGAAATAGGAGCGGCTCGTTCGGGGGGTTTGGAGGGCTGTCTCAGGCGAGTCAGGACTCTGCCCGGCAGGACGGGTTGGTCAATGTTTGTAGCTCCAGCCAGCAGCCGGCAGGCCTTGGGTAATCGGTCCTGGTAGAGTTCGAAGACCAAGCTCCGTCACTGCCACAGCTGTTTCGTCGCCATGCTCGATGTGCGAGAAGGCATTGCTGCCGTTTGATCTGATATGTCGGTACTCTGTAGACGGATGAACATGACTTGATCGTCTCATCAGTCGTGGTGAGGACGCCTGTCTATGCGACCAAGAATTTCAGCTTTTGCTTGCCTGCTGTTGGGCGCGGAACCAGGGATTGTGCTGGGTACTCGTCGATCAACGTGGCCGCCGGGCTGTATCCCCAGAACGTCCATTATTGTCCGTCGGCAGATCTCGATGGTGATTTGCGACTGGAACGCCCAGGGCACCCGGGCATCACGAGGACTTCTGCCATCTCATTCCGGCGTCACCGAGACCCCTTGATTCTGAGACAGCCTCGCTGCTGTGTGCAAGCAGCCCGGACTCGCATATAAGGTTGCCAGACTCAACACCATTGCACCCGCACCATGAGACTCGTCAGCGCGTTAGACACGGACTTGTCGGAATAAGGGGTTCGGTCTTGATGCAGGGGCGTCTGGAGATTGATTCGTCGGCAAAGCAAAGCAGTGGTGGCAATGCTGAACCCTGTGATTTGAGTGACGTTGACGCCTAGCCCGTCGTCACCCAGCTTCATTGAGCTGGCGTCAGGTCGGGACGAAATGCTGCCTAAGGAGCCCTGTACACCAAACCCTGAGCGCACATGTAACTCATCTCTGTGCAGCACGGCCTTTCTGAATGGAGACATCCGGCGTTGGAATTGGCATTGCTATGCCAGTTTTGGCGAGAAACCACGAAAAAGCAAACAACCAACCGTTCGCCAAACAGACTGCATCCAGAGGCCTCGCTGGAAGACAAAAGAAACGCCACAGCGCAGGGAAGTTGCTTGCACATGCAAGCTAGGCCACATGGCTTGATAACTTGTCAGCCAGTGAGAGGACCAGAAATGGGCTCAGATCTTTCAGAACACAATCCCTCGTCCGTTGTGCCGTGCGATGATGGAGCGCCGATTCGAGGGAAATTGACAAGCAACAAACGCAGTTCTCGAAGCACAATGCTTGACATTCGGATGTGAGGCGGGTCGTACATTCTGTTTCGAGACACGGACCGGAGAAGACGACTTCATCATCGTCGACAGCTCGAACGAGGTGATCACCGCAGCCGTGTCTTGACCGAATCTGTGTCGTGACTCGTCAAAAACGCGAACGACTGACGAGGCAATTTGGATTTCTCGTAAAGAGAGGGGGCACTGTATGCAAGATCAGTGAATTTGTCCATTTGTTAACATCATTGGCCACCCGAGCTTTTGGGCGGTCGCCGACCGCTGGACGCCGCTCGAAAAAAAAAAGCCAGGGATGGGGAAGGGTAAGGGGAGGGAGGAGGCATCAGGGGTGTTGGCAAAAGCTGCGACGTCATTCCTGGCTCTGTCAGATAGGGACCGCGGTGCGACTGAATACATGCTGTATGGAAGGCTGTGGCTTCTGCTTGTTGCTTCTTTCGCACGGCGCATTGAGCTCATCTTCGGGAGAGAAATCAATGTTCGGGCCAATGCACCAAACCATGGTCTTGTCCCCCTGCGCAGCTGGATGATCTCTTCATGGGATCCATCATAAGGCGCGCGCCATTACGAACCGCAGCTCCCATCAACGTACCTTTCCAAGATGAACAGCGGGGGTTTCCAGTCGTCGCCGATGCATGTCCGGGCGGCAAGAAACCGAGACCCGATCGACACGACAAAATGACGAAGTATTGAGTTGCATGAAGTTTCGAAACATCATGATGGCTCGCCTGCAGCTTCGAAAACACAGCAGCGCGAACCAGCGCGGACGTGTTGTGTTGTTGACCAGCCTACCAAGGCCCCTTCCCGTGTGGCCTTGTCGCACCTGTGACACAGTTGGAAAGTAGAGCGAGACAGGCTCATCTCGCTGTGGCATAACATTCCTCCCTGCGCAATCGAGATAGCATCCCGAGACAGGGCAT